CGACGAAACACAAAGGGTAGTTTTCTCGTTTAGTGACCAAATCATTCTTATGAGTCGGATCTTTTAAATGAACCGGTTAACAAACTGGTCTGGAACTGACTCGGTCGGAGTGCCTGTGTTGAAATAAAATAAACTAAATTAAAATAAACAAAGGTATTATTAAATCTGAATCGTAAAACATATGCCTACCTATGACTTTAACGGGCTGTTTTAGAGGAAGAAGCATGCCACGCTGATTTATTGGGTTGTAATGAGTGCACCTTTTGTAAAGTACTAAAAAAAGGCACTTTTTATTACTATATAGGCTAAGCACTATTTATGCAGATTATTAGGCTACCTTTATGTTTGGTTAAGCCTGAAATAGCTATGTAATACCTTTGATTTTAAAACTATAAAATATCTGTATTTTTCTTTGAATTATGCAGTGAATTTTGGTTAACAATATTGTGCTGTTGGCCAATTATTTAATAGCCTACACTCCCACATTCATATTTTTCCATGAGAGTTTTTAAAACTCATGCGTAACAAAAAAAGCCCTAAAGCTATGTAATATTTTGAAGGTATTTGTTTATGATAACCACCTTGTGTAACCACCTTTATTTATGCATTTAATTTATTTTTATTTTTTTAATGTTTTTTTAGGTTTATGTTGTTTGTTTATTCTTTGTTTGCTGCTATTTGGACTTCTTGGAATTGTATTAAGCTTTATCATTTTGAGGTTTGTTTGGTATCTTGTATGTTACTTCAAGCAATATACCGTATATATATATATATATATATATATATATATATATACACTCACCAGCCACTTTATTAGGTACACCTGTCCAACTGCTCGTTAACACTTAATTTCTAAGCAGCCAATCACATGGCGGCAACTCAGTGCATTTAGGCATGTAGACATGGTCAAGACAATCTCCTGCAGTTCAAACCGAGCATCAGTATGGGGAAGAAAGTTGATTTGAGTGACTTTGAACGTGGCATGATTGTTGGTGCCAGAAGGGCTGGTCTGAGTATTTCAGAAACTGCTAATCTACTGGGATTTTCACGTACAACCATCTCTAGGGTTTACAGAGAATGGTCCGAAAAAGAAAAAACATCCAGTGAGCGGCAGTTCTGTGGGCGGAAATGCCTTGTTGATGCCAGAGGTCAGAGGAGAATGGCCAGACTGGTTCGAGCTGATAGAAGGGCAACAGTGACTGAAATAACCACTCGTTACAACCGAGGTATGCAGCAAAGCATTTGTGAAGCCACAACACGCACAACCTTGAGGCGGATGGGCTACAACAGCAGAAGACTCCACCGGGTACCACTCATCTCCACTACAAATAGGAAAAAGAGGCTACAATTTGCAAGAGCTCACCAAAATTGAACAGTTGAAGACTGGAAAAATGTTGCCTGGTCTGATGAGTCTCGATTTCTGTTGAGACATTCAGATGTTAGAGTCAGAATTTGGCGTAAACAGAATGAGAACATGGAACCATCATGCCTTGTTACCACTGTGCAGGCTGGTGGTGGTGGTGTAATGGTGTGGGGGATGTTTTCCTGGCACACTTTAGGCCCCTTAGTGCCAATTGGGCATCGTTTAAATGCCACGGCCTACCTGAGCATTGTTTCTGACCATGTCCATCCCTTTATGGCCACCATGTACCCATCCTCTGATGGCTACTTCCACCATGTCACAAAGCTCTAATCATTTCAAATTGGTTTCTTGAACATGACAATGAGTTCACTGTACTAAAATGGCCTCCACAGTCACCAGATCTCAACCCAATAGAGCATCTTTGGGATGTGGTGGAACGGGAGATTCGCATCATGGATGTGCAGCCGACAAATCTGCGGCAACTGTGTGATGCCATCATGTCAATATGGACCAAACTCCCTGAGGAATGCTTCCAGCACCTTGTTGAATCTATGCCACGAAGAATTGAGGCAGTTCTGAAGGCAAAAGGGGGTCCAACCCGTTACTAGCATGGGGTACCTAATAAAGTGGCCGGTGAGTGTATATATATATATATATATGGGTCATTCCACGAAATCGTTGCCTTTTCAACTTTGAAAAAATTAAAATATAAAATAGCCTAAGTTTAATCTATTTTTATATATATCAAATGAAGACAGTTTAAATTACCAGAAATTGCATTGTGCCATCTTAAGCTATGTCATTTTTGATTTCATGATTATTTATCTACTACCTCATGTTTTGATATTCTTGTCATCCCTGTTACAGACACAAGCGTTACTATAGTTTTAAGTAAAACTATGTTATAGTTTTCACATATATGAGCAGTGTTTTAGTCCCTCTTTTCACTGCATGGGATTGTTTCAAATTTTGGAAAAAAAAAATTCCAATCTTATATTTGTCATTCAGATGACCAAGAACATACACATTTTGGAGGGTGATCAGTGCATGTACACACAATACTAACTAAAAATGTAAATGATGCTCATATGCCACTGAATTATAAAGGCATTAGCTCAATTATTCACCCAGGATGACCTTTAAAAATGTTTGCATTTTACACAGATAAACTTTAAAAGCAGTGTGACTAAGGTGACACCTAATCTATGTCATCCCTGTTACCCACATGTCAAAAAGGAAAAGTAACAGGGCTGACGCTAACAGGTTTGACAAATTCAAGCTAATTTGCTCATTGCTAGCAATTTTAATTATTTAATATAATATTAAATTGACTTTAATGTAATGTAATATTGAGGAAATAATAGTATTATTATGTTTTTAAATCACAATCTTACTGTCTGTATAGTCTGATTATATCTTATGGACACAAAAGGCAGCGATTTCGTGGAATGACGGTGACCCATATATATATATATATATATATATATATATATATATATATATATATATATATATATATATATATATGGGTCACCGTCATTCCACGAAATCGCTGCCTTTTGTGTATATATATATATATATATGCAACGCTAATATGTAAGGAACCACGTTATTACGTTCTGATGTAAAGAGTCACTAAATCGTTTTTAACCGGTTCTTTGAAATGAACCACTCAAAAGAATCGGAACGAGCCATACTTCAGTTCTTTTCTCAACGCTTACAAGAATTGACCAATCACAGTCGTTTGTGATTAAACATTTTTTTAAATATAATTTAGTAGAGCTGATGGGCCAGATTTAGATTTGCATGACAGACAAAAGTCATTGAATGTAATACATTTAAATAGTACACTTTGTATTATACAAATGTCTCCAGTATGATTAAACTCGTACTGAGATTTTGAATGTGACTCAATGGAGAAATCGGCTTCCGGAGCCCCAATGCGACCCCTTGAGGAAGAAAACTACTTGTCTCATAGTGTGTGCGCATGACACGCAGGCTAGAGAGAGAGAGAGAGGGGGAGTAAAAAAATTCCTCTAACATTGCTAAGATTGTGTAGGCTACTGTAAGGAGCAAGGATGGTATTAGGAAGCCTATTCTCACCCATAACTATTTAATTACATCAATAACCTTAAATTATTCGGTGACATTTTATAAGAAGTTTCACTTTGCCTAATAATTAAAACATTACAGTGTGTAATGTTCAACAGTCTCTACATAGAAACACGTCTTTATCGTTCTCATCCTTTGAACCTATTTAAGTGCCCATGTCTGAACATTGTCCCTCCCTAAAATGAATGGGTCACACATGTGTTCTTAACTTCCATGTTCAAGGCCCCCAGCTTCAAAGGTCACTGAACCCTGGAGGCTCGGTTGACCTCTTTGCAGTAAAATGGTTGTGTAAAGTGAATACACATGAAAGGTTAGAGTCATTGTTAAAAGCAATTAAATTGAGCTGTTGGGTTAATTAAACGCCTGCTTCTCAGAAAAATGAGAAAGAAGATGGCTCAAGATCTGTGTAAGAGGTTTACTAAGACCTTACAGCTTTATCAAATTCCAAATCATACTAGTTAAAAATCAGGTACTGTACTATAGAAATATCTTATGCTAAGTGAAGATCTGACTTTACAGAGTTTACGTTAATGACTCATCATTACATAATTATGGGGGTAATTATGGGGGGGGGGGGGCAATGTGTGTTGCAGATCAGCACACATGAAAACTCAGCCAGGACAACCACAATAGGCTTTTAATACTTTTAGTTCTCTACTCTCTGAAATACATGTTTATTTCCAATTTATTTTAATTTTGTATTATAACTATTTCAAGATCATAATTACATACAGTATAGCAATTTCCTTTTACAATGGATGTTTACAAAAACAAAAACAACACGTCTGGAAAGATTGAAGCATGTCACTTTGTGCTTCAGTCTGACCAGTAAAAATCTTTTCCGTGCCATATGTAATATAATAAATCAATTTTCATGGGTAATAACAGCATTATCACCAGTTTCATAAGTCCTTTAGGAAATAAAAAAAAAAACGCCATCCAAATGAAAATTCTTTTCAAAGTGGAACAGGGTGGCAGTCTTCTTTTACATTAGAGAAGATCATTGTTCAATGTCCCAATAGCTCTCGAAAGAGAAACGAAATGTTGCTGTCTAAATTCAGCAGCGGTCCAGAGTAACTGCCTTATCATGGCTGAAAGCAATAACAACAAAAAAGTTGTGTGCATTTCTTTATATGGGTTTTTTCTGAGACACAAGACAGTATAAATTACATTTGAATAAAAGACAATGCAATGACTCCAAACAGAATCAAGTGTTAAGTTCATTATATGTGTAATCAAATGGATTATTTTCATTTAAAAAAAGTGAAAAAAAAAAAAGACTGTTACTAATATGACATATTGGCATATGCACAGTTTTAGCATATTGTGTGTTTGATTTGGGCTATTGCAAGCCACAATATTCAAGTGTTTCTTTATTTGAAAAGTCTATTTATTTATTTGACCGTTAAAACAGATATTACTGTCATATTGTCCAGCATTGTTTTGAAGGTCTAAGACAAGTAAAACATAGACAAGTGTGAGAACACATTGTACTCAAGCAGAGATTTTTTTAGAAACATGTATATACAAAGTAATGTATCAAAGTTTAATATTCTGAGTATTTGGCATCCCCTGTATGGCAATTGTTTATGTCAGAATGCTGCGTTTGTACAGTACTCCATTACATGATATTATAACATGCATACAGCAAAACAAAAACTTGACTTAAATGGAATGGGTTTGATTCTTTAGTACATGGTATCAAGACACATTTACAGTCGGGTCACCAAAACATCAGACCCCTCGCTCACACCTGTAGAAGTACATTTACATGAACACACCCCTAAGGAAGGCAGCAAGGAGACTGCACCCCATTTTCTATATAGCGTGGAGAACTGCACCTTAAGTAAATAACCAAAACAAAACAAAAAAATGGTGAGAAAACCTCCCCCCCCCCAGTAAAGTTCACAGTTCCCATCTGTGCACCAGGGGCATGTTCATCAAGGGAAGTCCTAATCTTGAGGTCCATTTATAAGTTTACAAGTTCATGAGCCACAAACTGTTTCAAGCGCTCCAGGTACTGTCCATACAGCTCTACGTCGTTGTGTCCCGCACCCTCCACCCAGAGCGGCTCCACGGGCCGCTGGCAGCGCTCGTACAGGGCCAGCCCATGGGAAAAATCTATCACCTCGTCCTCCGTCCCGTGGATCACCAGCACCGGAGACGTGACTTTAGAGATTTTATCAATGCTAAAGAAAAAAAAACAGACAAAAAACACATGAGCAGAGTGTTCTGCAATACAGTGTCTTTTAAATCATCATAACGTGCTTTGTGAAGTTTGTACATGAGACGAAGGGCAATTGTAACAACAACAAAAACAAAAACAAAACTAAAAAACTGATTTTGAGGTATAAAAGTGCTGCTTTGGATGTCCAGTATTTTCTACTGCCATCTAAAGAACACCATTTTCCTTTAAAAAAAATTAATAAAAACTGCCCGCATTAACTTAAATGTACATTCTTTGTCTTTCTAAAACAAAAAAATTTTTTTTTTTAACCTTCATAAGTATCTAGCTGAAATTTATTCCTAAATTAGGCTATGTTCACACTGATTATTTGTGTATCCGATTTGAATCTGATCTAAATTATCGACGGTCCACACTGTATCGCAAGGCGCTCTTTTGTTTTCCAGCATATCAGTGGTTTCTTTGGCAATGATGTTGCATTGGTAGGTATCCACCAAAAACATGGAGGGGTTTGCAACACAGATGTTTTCTTATTTACAACATGGCAATGTAAAAGCGGTGCTGGACTACTGCGTCTTCTGAAACGTTGGAGGCTGGTATTCCGTGCTGTCGTCTCCGCCGGTATCAAAATTCAAGGACGTCTCGACACAACCTGCTTTCTGCAGTGACTTTCAGCATGTTTCCTATAACAACGTCTGACGTTTACTTTTTACGTGGCGTGCGAAAGTGACATAAACCACAGAAAATCCGATCAGAGTGGTCAGACTGAAACAGATTTCCAGAAATGCGAACCACACATGAATGTAGCTCAGAACAAATTTGTAAAAATCGCATTTCATGTGATTTTTTGGCGTTCACGCTTGATAAATCCGATTGGATTCCAATCGGATATCCACAAAAATTGGATTTGGACTGACAGTCCGAACAATAATATAATATTATTAACAGTAAAATATATTAAAGATTAAGAATATTTTAAAAGTATTTGATTTATGTGATGGCAAAGCTGAATTCTTAACAGCCATTGCTCCAGTCTCCAGTGTCACATGATCCTTCAAAAAAAAATCATTCTAATATGCTGATTTGGTGCTCAAAAAAACATTTCTTATCATTAAAGTTGAAAACTGTTATGCTGCTTAATATTTTTGTGGAAATCATGATAAAAGTCATTTTTATCAATTTAATGTGCCCTTGCTGAATAAAAGTGTAGATTTCTTTCAAATAAAAATCTTACTGACCCGAAACCTTTGAATTGTTTAAAAATATATTTCATTGCATTTATACATTTTTACATAAAAATTAAAATACATTTTTTAAATCAAGCATGAAAACATAAATTTCAACTGAAATCAGACTGTTTATCCATTATAACTTGTTTTAAAATGCAAGTGCACAAACACTGAACTACTTGTTGGAAGATATGTGTCACTAGAGGGCACACAATAACAGTAATGGTTAAAGTGCAGAAAACGGATGAACCAACCAGGTGCCTCGTCCACAACATGGCTGCTGAAAGAAAGGCGTGCCGTGAACAGTGATATGAAACAGTATGTGTCTAATTGGTGTGAGACACAGGACAAATGAGGGGGGAATTGTGGTGGAAGAATTATGAAAAGATGGCGAGTCTAAGGTAAAATTGCTCGAGACTCACTTGGGGAATGCATCGAAGCAGTACGTTTTCTTTGTGTCAGGAAAAGCCACCCGCATGCCTGAGGTCAGAGGGGAGTGAAGGACGACGGCAGCGCTCTCGTACCGAGAGGCCAGATCCACCGAAGGGACTGTACCGATGCTCTGGCCGTAAATGATCACATGCTCTGGCCTGACCCCGTACCTAGAAGATGACATTCAAATGATGAGTTCAAATACAGACGCACATACACACCTACACTGATGATGCTGAGATCAGAACACAATTATCATGAATCAAGAGTACAGGTTGTTTAACCCACTTTTAGAACCAGACAAACTGGGAAGCACGCTTGGTGTTTTGTAGTTATCTTGAATGACCGAATCTTTCAAAAGACTGTTCATAACCATTACATAACCTCAATTGACATGCCCAACTTAAGTGATATTACTTTTACAAAAAGCCATAGGCGTGAGCCAAAATTTAAGAGCAGATACTAGAACAATTTAAACATTTAAGTCATTAAAGTCAACATTCCTGCAAGTTAAGCTGCTTGCAGTCATCAGTCTCTATTCCATTACATTTCACCAAGTGATTGCTTAAAGGGAAAAAGAAAATATTCTTTTGGTAACACTTTACAATAAGGTTCTATTAATTATATTATATGTTCTATCATATTAATTAATAAAATTAACAATGAACTATGGAAGCTTGTTTCCGCCACAGAATGAAAAATAAAAAAGGTAATTGCGACTTTTTATCTCACAATTCAGACTTTTTTTCTCACAATTGCGAGTTTACATCTCGCAATTCTGAGAAAAGATGTCAGAATTGCGAGATGTAAACTCGCAATTGTGAGAAGAAAAGTCAGAATTGTGAGATAGTCTTTTTTTCTCGCAATTGCGACTATTTCTCAGAATTGCGACTTTATATCTCACAATTCTGACTTCATTATCTCGCAATTGTGAGATAAAAAGTCGCAATTATGTTTTTATTTTTATTTTATTCAGTGGCGGAGACAAGCTTCCATAATGAACAATACATTTGTTACAGTATATTTTAATCTTAATGTTTGATAATGAAAATACATCTGTTCAGCATTAGTTCATGTTAGGTCCGTTAAATAATATTATTAACAGATACAACTTTTGATTTTAATAATGTTAGTTTATGTGAAATAATGTAGTTAACTAATGTTAACAAATGAAGCCTTGTGGTAAAGTGTTACCGTTTATTTTTATTTTTTTTGCTGTTTTGTATGCACTGATATATATTATAATTCTAGTCTAATAACCGATTATTTAAGAAAAACACGAACTTACTGATATATTCAGTAATATTCTCCGCCCACGGTTCCGTACGCACTTGCACCGTAGTTCATCTTAAATCTGATGACGCACCTTATATAATGTTGTTTTTTAAATAACTAGTAAAACAGACTGTTCCGCTAATGTATTTTCTGACGATGGATACACATACTGGCTTCTCAATATATTCCAACAGGGATGATAAAAAAACCATCACTCTTTGTAAACTTTGTTCAATGAGAGTTGCGTATGCTCGAACATGATGACCAGTCATATATATGCAATTTAATACGATATGCATTCAAGAGTATGCTGAAAAGTGAGCTTGATGACAGTAATCACTGCATGATCATGATCAATTAATCAATTACTAGAAAAAAGCCATGAGAACAGATTATTTCAAGGAATCCAGTGAGAGTCAAGAATCCAAGTATATCAGTTTCAATTCTCTTGTACAGTGAAACTAGAAGGAACATTTGTACTTAAATCAGCAAATGACAACGTGACTATCAAAACGCTTCTACTATGGAGAGGATGGTGTAAAGGTTGGTTATCCTAGGGGGCGGTGTGTCCACATTCCATGTCATATTACAAAGCGCATGATCACTTAGTCAGCTGACTGCAGTGCCACAGAGAGGTCTGGCTGAAGAGATCATGGACCTGAGAAGTAAACAGAAATTACCCCAAAAGTAGGTCATATGATAAGCGTATATTAACACATATCAATCGACTTATGCTGTACATTGTACTCTGTCCAGTGTGCAATTACACAGCATTAAAATGCGCAGTGAATGTTGCATTCAGTTCTCTAGTAATACTTGACTGCTGTCTTGCTGGCAAACAGAAGGTGATAGAACTGGTTTTAAGTTGAAACTGAAAATTGTCATTGTATGACCAAAATAAATATAAATATTTGCGTCTGATTCACAAGTGGACCTCACATGTAACACATCATGAATTACAATTCATTCATTCAGTTACCTACACATTCATGCCACCTTAAAAAAAAAAAAAAAAACACGCAATCTTGTTCAGCTTATACAATGGGCCGTTGAGACCAATACAGTCATCAATTTTGTCCTCAGGGACAAAAATCACAGGATTCTACATTACTCTGTGTGATCATGTGAGAGGTGGTGGAATGTGTTTTGGAGAGAGGCAGAACAGATGGTCAAGGATGAGAAAAAGGAGAAGGGACTCCAAGTCATTCTCAAAAAGAGCATTCTTTTTAAGGAACAGTTCGTTTCAAACATAAAAATTATTTAATTATTCACCCTCATGTTGTTTAAAACACATGTGCTGTTATTATTTTCCAATGAACAAGCAGGAATTTAGATTTTGCAGATTTTGCCAATCAACAGTTCATCCAGTCTGTCAAGTTTAAAGTAAAATGTGTATCTTATTTGACTTGTATTAGGGCTGCACAATTAATCGTGGTAAAAAATTAATTAAAAATAATCGTCGGAATATTTGCCCTGCTGATTAATTAACCTGAAAACGTCTTAAGACATTTCCATTATCTTACATTGCTAACTTTCCTGCTTGGGTTGCCAGATGACAAGAGAATAAATCCACCAAATAGAGCTTTTCTCTTAAAAGGACAAATTTTCAGCCCAGTGTTTCACTTAATCTGGCAACCATGCACACGCACTCTCTCTGGCAGCAAAAAAGCGCTGATGATCTGACAAGTGACAAACATGTACATTAGAGTTTAGCGAGGTTTATTGTGAAATTCTAAATGTCATACAGCCAGTCTTTATTCCTTCACAAGGCTGCGTGTGCGATTTGCTGCTAATAATTCTACTAAATATGTGACATGTAATAATCCAAACATGATTCTTGAGCATATTGTTTGCGATCATGGTTGACGAATAAATGGTCCGTGCAACCTCTGTGCTACAATACAAAGTAAAAAAATTTCATGGTTTAGCTTTTGATAGAAGCTTCTTAAGGTTTTACCAATTTTTTTTTTCATAATGTAAAGCAGTTGAAAACGACATGGCCGTCGTCTGTTTGCAGTGTTTTAATCATGTAAAAGGCTAAATGAAAAAAAGACTAGTATCGTTCTTTGCTGTCTGATGAATTTGCATTTGTGGAGCGATCTCTCATTTGCAACTGAATTACCTTTCATAAAATAAAAATATCTAACATAAAGTATAATATTAATATATAAATAATAATATAAAATTACAAAGCACTCACCAAAACCATGCATTATCAGAAGTCACATTAAATGGTAAATATTGTTCAATTTACTCATTTTTGAGCAAAATAATCATGATTATCAGTTTAACCATTATCGTGTATGAAGATGGACTCCTTTTATTTTCACATTAAAATTTTTTTTTTTATAACATCTTTTTGCCGCTTGACAGGCATGGTCAATGTGAACCGTAATTCAATAATGACCAATTCTAATTCATTTTAAGTACATATTCAGGCTTTTAAACATGCTTTCAGATTCTGGAGAAGTCTGATGGTCTATGGCAGGGGTGCCCAATCCTGCTCCTGGCGATCGACTGTCCTGCACAGTTCATCTCCAACCCTAATCAAACACACTTGAAGAAACCAATTAAGGTCTTCAGAGCACGTCAGGATCACTTGAAAATTAAAGGCAGGTGTGTTTGATTAGGGTTGGAGATGAACTGTGCAGGACAGTCGATCGCCAGGAGCAGGATTGGGCACCCCTGGTCTATGGAATGGCTTTTTAGTCAGTTTTAGGCCCCATCCACACTACTGCGTTTTAGTTTAGAAACGGATAATTAAAACGAATACGATCTCCGTCCACACCAGCGTTTTAGCTGCGTATTAGAATTGATCTCCGTCCACATTAAAACGACTGAAAACGCGGATCACGTGACCATTCACCAACACTGGGCATGCGCGTGCCGGTGTAAACACAACTTCATTGATAAAATTATCCCACCATGCTCTGGGTTAACCACAAACCGACGCTCCGTACGGTCAACGCCGCCGCTGCACACGGGGAATTGTCACAGATCGCTCGAATAATAGCTTGACTCCGGCGCATGTAGGCAGTTATAGCGTTGTAAAATGCAGAATTTACTTGTACAACAGCTGCTAGCAAAGATATAGGCTACGCCATGACTGATGACACCCAATCAGAGAGCGGAGCGTGAGCCTCTACTACGTCATCGTTTCTAAAGTCCTCCGTTTTGACCCGTCTACACTAAAACGCCCTCCGGAGAATCAAAACGAAAAACGGGTCGGCAGCGTTTCTAAACTTCTCCGTTTTGGGTCTCCGTTTTTTCCGTTTTAGTGTGGACGGGAGGTGCAAACGTAGCAAAAGGTCTCCGTTTTTAAACGAAAACGCAGTAGTGTGGACGGGGCCTTAGAAAAAGATGGTAGGGCCTCACCAAAGACCTAATGATTTATAGAGTACTCAAACACTAAATGAAGTACGTCCATTTCATTTCAAACTGCTCAATATGTTGGCTATAAAGATAAGAAAATTAAATCAGCACTATGTGTTGCCTTGACAACAAATCATAAATTGTTCAGATAAACAATAACATGTACCAGACTACCTTTCTTAATTTAATATAGCAGCTGGCTGACAGCAAGTCTACACTGATAAACTTTTAGATACAAAAACCTGCTGTGTGACACCATCAGGAAGTTCTTTTTTACTTCCTGGGTAGACAATGTTTTCATGACTGCAATCAGGCTTGTCCCTCTGGGACTCCCTGGGAATCAGTTGCTAGGCAACCAATCAATATTCGACTTGGAGAACTGGCTGCTGGCACCTCCCCCCTCACCTCTCAGAGCGCTCCATTAAAGACGGATACTAAATTCTCACAGGCTTCTCGAGTGAGCTCCTCTCAGCTCTCAGCCCAAAAACACTCAAGCACAATGGTCATTATATCACTTCAGGAG